AATCATGCAGAAAGCTGCAAAAAGCGATTGTCAGTCAAAGCAGCATCTTAAGGTTAGGAGCTGGGATACTACTAGAGTAAAGAGAGCCAACATTTTGTTAGTCTCGTGTGCACACTTGCATGCACGCGTATGTACGCACGAGTGCACACTGGGCTGAAACGCTAATGCTGCTCTGGGATCTCCGTAAAGCAGCGTCTGAGCGAGAGGTGGAGCAGAGCTAACTCTGACGGCCAGTTGTCCTCTCCATCAGGCTGGCCCAGCTCCAGTGGTTTCAGGGGCCTGGCGCTGGTGTATGTGAGAGGCGAGTGCAGCCCAGAGGGTTAATAGTCACAAGTGAGAAGGGTTCAGCAGCCCTAGTTTTCCATGTACGGGACCAGGTCTGTATTTCTCCTGCCTCCAGCATGGTGAGCCTTTCATCCCTTTAAAGGTGATGAACAAAGCTGAAAGCTTGGATTTGTCTTGTCTTTTCCCCGGCTTTCTCCTGCCTAAAGAGCTAGGAAGGCTAAAAAAGATTAAAGTTCTGTCTGTGTTTTTACCTCAGCAATCTAAGCCATATCAAGTCTTGTCTGTTGTTCCTTGCTGAGGGTCTGTCTCGTTGGAAGACCGAAGATCTAGTGTAGGAGCTTTCTCAGCCCTCACTCAGCACTGTAGATGTGTTTTTGTCAACTGTGTAATTCAACAGCTGTTAAACAAAACAAGTTTGAACCCAGCTAAAAAACCCATCCCCTCTCCATTGTTCAGGTTTCACTTGCAAGGTATTTGAATGTTCTCATCCTACCACTTCTTCAGCCTTCCATCCTGGCTTCCAGGAAGACCAGGTCAGACAGGACCTGAATGGCTAATGCACAAAACCAAGGAGAAAGAATATCAGAAAAAGAGCCCTTCTGGAGCCAACCAAAAGAGGCGGGAAAGGACCCACCTCAAGTTTTCCCCTTTTGCTGGGCGCCCTTAAGGTGAAGAGGGTGGTTCTGCTGTGGTTTCCTAGAGCAGCAGTCTGTGCCAGGGAAGTACATAGGACACAAGCTTCTGCTATGCAGTGTGTGATGAATTGGGGCTGTATCTGTAAATGCCGTGGATTCCGATGGATCATGGGAAGTTCCGTTATCAAAATTGGCTGTGTCGCGAGTGCCTATACATCTGTGGATCCTCCATTCTGTTGAGCCCTGTAGTAGGTCTGCACCAGTCAGATACGCTAGAAGGTGCTTGGGATTTAATGACCTTGTCCAGGTGCAAACATCTGGGACACAGCATCCTTAGCAAACCACTTTAGCTGATTCCTCTGAAGGGTGGGAGTTGGTAGGAGCAGTGGACACTTAGCAGGAGTTGAACAAAAGCAGCCATGTGACTGGGAGGGGTTTAAAGAAACACAGGAATGGGGGCCAGACAAGAAGAGGGAAGCGTGGGGTCGGGAGAGAGCAAGGTCACAGAAGCTGGGCGAGGGGCTCCAGAAGGGAGCACTTGTCCAGCACGAGGCAGCCTCGTGGGCAGTGCGTTCCTGCCCACTTCGCTGAGCCCACATGGCTCCAAGGACTCTGGCCAACCCAAGGGACTTGGGCCCCAGCCCAAAGAACTCCCTGGAGTGATGCAGGAAGGGAGGCAGGGACGCCTGCCAGATGTGCGTTGTTTTCTCTGATCTGTGCTGTATGTGATTAAGTATGAAAGAGCAGAAAGGTGTCAAACTGTATGAAGTGTGTGTGCGACGACTGCCTCACAGCCCTGCCTGCCCCTGAGTGTGCTAACCAGTAACCCAAACGCTTCACATCTCTTCGGGGGGAGGGGGGGCGTGTTTGAGTAACTGGGGTGTCTCGGGGGGTCAGGGCTGGTCCTGGAAGCCTATGGCAGGTGGGCTGAGGAGCCCCACTTCCGAGAAGGTGGAACAGTGGGAGAGTCAGCGTCCAGGAAATGTGCCAGAGGTGCCAAGAGAGAAACCAGCAATGCGGCCTGCGGAGACTCCAGAAGCTTAACGCGCCCTTGGGGATCTAGAGCAAAGAGGGTTGAATTCCCCTCCCAGCCGTGCGAGTAGGTAGCAGGAAGCCGGTGCTCGCTAGGGTCTGTGAGGATGGGGAGGTGCATCTTAACAGCGCCTACAGAAACTCTCTAGAAAGGTTTCCCTTCTGCCTTTCAAATCTTCCTCTTTGATACCTTTAATACCTGTCCTTTCTTTCAACCCTTCCCCAGTGCCCTGTCTGTCAGCCTCTCCTTAGACTGGATGAAGCCAGCTCAGACCTGGCCAGCAGTAATCTTGCTAACAGTTCCCTTCCATTACAGGTGATGAAGGGAAGCAATCTGTAAATGGATTTCTGTCTGAGACAGCCCACAAAAGGTTTTCTTCCATCTGCAGCGAGCGAGGGAAATTAGCAGGAGATGGAGAGGTTTATTTTTAATTGCACCCCTCTTTCGAAGTTTGAGCTGCTAATTAAAAGGAGATAGCAGGAGAAAGCTGGCAAACTCAAATATTTAAATAAGAGATGATCTGATTCTGAAGCTCACTGCAGTGCAAAGATGTGATCATGCATTGGTAATGCAGCAGGGACTGATGGGCTTATCTGCAGCGCCGTCTGATCCTTCCTTGTACTCCCATTTGAGCAGCAAGCTAAGCTCTTTGCCTCTTCTTCATATGTGATGTAAGAGGATTGCCCAAGTCACATTTGTGCAGCACTTATCCGCCCAGCTGCAGAGGTTAGGGTTACTGTCTCTTGGCTGTTCAAGGGAGGCCGCTGGGTTGAATGTGATGAAGAGAACTCAACTCAAAGCTAGCTAGGGAAAGTGCTACTTTCCCATGGATGTGTGCGCACAATGCATGTGTGAAACACTCCTGTCCCCGCTGCGTCTGCATGCACGTGCTTACCCCCACCCTGGGCACAAGCTCACAAAGCAAAATCAAAGAGGATCCCAAGGAAACCAGTGGAAACTTAGTGCACATGTGAAATGCCCAGCCCTCGAGTGTGCGTCTCCAGCAGTCCCACTCTGAGCTGAGCTGCCTGCCTGTTGGGTGGAGTTTGTCTCCTGTCCATTGTCAATCTTGCGTGGCTTGAGCACCTCAGGTTGGCTAGCAGACAGCTCGTGGATTCAGGGAAGCTCTCTTTTATTGCTTGGAGAAAGGTGTTTTGTGCTGGTACTCTGCATCCCCAGTGCCTAGTACACTCCCGAGGTCCAGTATTCCTCCTCCGAGGCCTGCTCCGCTCACGAGAGCTCTTGGCTCAGAAATGGTCATTATTGTGTCCACAGCCTCTGTACATGTGCCCGAAAGGGTCCGATCCATTGGTCGAGGGTTGTTCTGACTGGGGCATTCTTTCCCTCTGCCAGGAAACCCGACGCAAGGGGGAAAGGCTGCTAGCTGGGGAAAGGGGCAGTTTGGGGTGTCTTGTGTATAGTCTGAAAGACAAAGGATTGGGTGACATGCATCTCGTCTCCCCGGCCACTGGACTTGTAGGTGGAGCCCTGCAAATCGGCCGATAACCACCGACCACTTTTGATCAGATCAGATGCAGATACACATTTTGTATCCATGCAGTGCTCTACTTGTAGGTTTGATCGCTTCTCCCAACCTTTCCTGGCTCTTCTCGTCTTATGCTGGCAGCTTTTCAGGGCAAGATGTCTCTTCCTAGATGTCTGTATCGCTCCCAGCACAACAGGTTCCTGATCCTGGCAGGGGGTTGGAGCACAAATAGTGTAAATAATGAAGCTCTGACCCTGCTCAGCAGCAAGATCTGACAAAGCAGCAGCCTGCGAAGGACTTGGACGTTTTTCAGAGAGAATTGTTGTGTGTACATTTTCCCCAGTAGCACAAAGGCCGTGTCTCTTGCTAGGTGATTATTGGTACGGTGGGAACGATCACTGCTTAACTACCTCACGAGGGTTCAGGGGGATTCACTAATGTCTGCACCGCGCTTTGCAGAGAGAAAGCAGTGAGCATAGACGTGAGTGGGGTTATTCCGTGGCTAGAGAAATGAATCGTGCAGATGTAGGGAGGGGTGTCATGAGCCTGTGCGAGGTTTAGTCGTGTGTCAGAAGGAGAGACGGGAGAGTTGAAATGTAAACTGATGTAAGCTCCTTGGGGCAGGGAGCATTGTCTTGTTCTGTGTCTGTACAGCACCTAGCACGACGCGATGGGACTGGGCCGTGATTGGGGCTCCTGGGTGTTATGGGAATGCAATTATTAACTAATAATGATGGGGTGGCCAAGCAGTGGCAAAGGGGGTGTGATAAAACGTAGCTCTCGAGTGTAAAGACCAGCACGTTAACCCCACAACGGCTCCCCCAGCACAGCGGCCTTGCTCTTGCCCCGGGGCCTACCAGACCTGTCTCTCCAACACAGAAGAGTCCCACAATGCCACAAGTACTCCTTTTCTCAAATAAATGGGTTAGTCTCTAAGGTGCCACAAGTCCTCCTGTCCTTTTTGTGGATACAGACTGACACGGCTCCTACTCTGAAACAACGTGACTAGCAGCACGGCTGGAGCTTAAGGCAGATTGAGCCTGGTGCAGGGAGAATCCTTGGAACGAGCGTAGCCGGGGGCTGAGCATCAGAATCGTGGTGCCTTGGCAGTGCTGGATGTGGGGGGCCCTGAACTGGAATAGCAGGGGGCAGAGCAGTGAGACAGGTTTGCACAATGCCTATAGTTTTGTCCAGATTTGTCCAAGGTGACCAACCCCTTAAGTTCACGAGCTCGTGGTCATCAGGAAAAGGAGCTACAGTAGCTGGCCTGAAGGCTGCAGTGTGCAGGTTTGTGTGCTGACCCACGAGCAGGAATTCCGCTGTCTTGAGTTTTTCACAAGTGGGGAAGTCCCCTAGCTCTTAGGTCTGCACCTTAGCCTTAGGATCAGGCATGTCCCCGTGTCTGTCCCCTTGCTGTCAGCGTATGTGCAGGTTCTTGGCCATTTACACCATGAAGTGCGTGTGTTGCTAAAGCGGGAGCCGGAGCTGCATTTCCTCCCAGCCCCTTGCACTCCAGGCCTGGGCGCTGACTCCCCATTCTGTGTTCTGATGCCCTCTGCAGGTCTTGGAAGTGGTCCGCTCTAACTACGACACGCTCACCCTGAAGCTGCAGGACGGGCTGGATCAGTACGAGCGCTACTCAGAGCAGCACAAGGAGGCTGCCTTCTTCAAAGAACTGGTGAGCTGCCTTCATGCACCGACAGCTGGGTACAAACACCCAACACCTCACTCCCCCAGCTTTGACACAGCCGCGGGCCCTGGCTCAGCCTATGGTCATAGCCTAGCCTGGCCATTCCTCTTCTCTGTGGATGCAAACTGGAGGAGGGTGTGGTCTTAGGCCCTGGGAGATGGGGCAGCAGTGGGTTATAAACAGGAGATTGCAGGTCTCCACTGATCCAAAAGCCCTCAAACATCTAGTGGTGCGGCTGCAGCCCGTTGCCGAGCATGGTTTGGCCAAAGCCCCTCTGAACCCCTCCGTGGCAGCAGCCAGTCGATCTGTCTCTCCCTCTCACCTCGGAGAGCTGGGGTAGTGTGTAATGGGGAATTTGCGTTGAAGGGAAGCCTACCAGGGTCATCAGACAAAGCAACGTAACAGACTTTTACTGCTGTAATTGGGCCACAGAAGCATGAGAGTGAGCAGGATGCACAGCCCTGGCCAGACACCCTCATCTGCCCTTCGCTCTCCCTTGCAAAGCGGGGACTTAAACCCAGCAGGAAAGGGGAGAAGTGGTCTCCTGGTTTTCCCAGGCAGAAGAGAACCGGGATGGGGGAAGTGTCCAGTCACACAAGCAGCACCCAGACGGGATTAGACTTGGAGTAACCCTGGTTGGTTGGTGAGGGTCGCCAGGCAGCCAGCTAGTTGGGCCAACTCCCCAGGAGCTGGGTCTCGAGTGATTCAGCTCACCTAATTGGATCCCGCATGAGCCTGCACCATAGCTGGCTTGGTTTGATTATCGCTGCGTGGTGTCTGTGATCCTGCGTTGACTCCAGAAATGGGGAGTCCTCAGACTCCAGTGGGAGCTTGCTCCACTGCGGTGCTGGTTTCCAGCTAATTTCTCCTGCTCGTTTTGTCCTTGCTCCCTACCCACTTCATCACAAGCCTGTGTGAACTGAGAGCTGCTTTGCCTCGCCTCAGCCCCCTCTTCTCCAGAATGAGCACACCTGGGTCTCTCCCGCTCCCTGCGGGGGCTTGGGTACTAACCTTTTCTCATTTTTGCTGCTCTCCTCACAACTTCTGCCTCTTTGTGTGTGTGATGGATGAGCACAGAGCAAAGAGATCATCGTAATGGCCTCCTGTGTTCTACATGCGACTCTCATCAGTACAACCAGGTGCTGGGACAGCATCTCGCATCCCACTCTCTCTGCCCTTCCCTCACTGCTCCTCCCCATTCTCCAGCTGATTATGTCCAGCTTGGACCATTTACACTAGCCCTGATGGAACCTCAGACTGGGTTTGCAGCTGGCTAAGATTTTCTTTCTATCCATCTGCCCTCCAAAATGTTTGCAGCCCTTTCCAGTTTTGTCTCATCTAAGACTCTGATTAGCATGATCCAGTCCCTCCTCCAGCTCCCTTATGAAAACTACCAGAACAGGTACCTCTGGTAGCTTCCTTCTGCTAGACAGGAGAGCACTGAAAATTACTGTCTAAATGTGGTGGTTTACCCAGTTGTGTATCTGCTTAATCCACATTTCTCCAGCTTCCTTGAGACTATCATGTGGTACCATAGTAAACGACCCAGACTAACAGCTATAGAAAGTCTCCTGTATTCCCACTAAGCTTGTTCTCCCACTGCTGAGAGAAACCGAGTGGATTAGGTATGATTTGTCTGTGACAAACCCGTTCAGCCTTCTCTTCATCACTACCATGTTGTTTTTCCTCTTGGTGCGTAGAATCTGACGGCTTTACTAATTGTTCTAACAATGTCCCACGAGCTCAAGTTAAATGTACTGGTGTGCGTTTCCCTGGCTCTCCCACACAAAACCAGGTGCTTTGGCTGCTCTTTCCCAAGCCCCTGGATCTTCACTAGGCCCTTTGGGACTGCGTCTGTGCTGGGAAATACGTGGCCCGTAGCTCCCCTGGTGGAAGCTGCTGGCGAGCTGAGACTGGGGGGTTTTACCACCACGCCAAGAAGAGACCGTGCCAGCAACAGCCAAGTCCTGCCCATGCTGCGCTGTCTGCTGTAGCTGTCTCTGGTGGAGCTGGAGACAGCGCCACTCAGCTCCGCATGGTTCCCACACTCCCGCTGGCTGTATCAGGCCCTGCTGAGCTCAGTCTGTCTGTTAGGGACGTACCCCGTGGTCAGGCTCTTCCTGATTCTGCCCAGTGACCTGTCCCTCGCCCTGTGCTCCTGCTTTAAGCATCCTACTGCAAGAACCTTTTCCGGCAGGGAGTGACGCACAAGAGCCACTTCTCTCTTTAGCCTTCTCTACGCGTCCCCTTTGCTCCTCCCTGGGAAGCAGTGAGCGTGACTCCGCTTAGTCCTTCTCGGTGCTTAAAAACCAGTGTTCTCCCTCCTTTGATGTGCTTTGCTAATGCACGGCCTTTCCTCTCTGCCTTTGCCTCTCCACTGCCCTCTCACTAATTTCAGGGAAAAGCTCCTGGCTTCTACCGTCGCCTTCTAACTGAGGCCTCAGAGACCCGAGGTGCTGCAGTCACATCGTGGCGAAAGGGGACGCACAAAGGGGTGGGGTATGGAGGGGGGTGTAAATTGGGCTTTCGATGGATAAAAGACCCTTGGAAAGTTTGGTTTGTTTTTTTCCTCTGAAATCTCAGGCCCTCTAGCCCCCTCCTGTTTTGTTAGGGGTCTCAGGGGATGTCAATTGAAGCGGTGGGTGTGTTGAGACTTTAACAGGGCTTCCTTTCCCCAAAATGTTAATTGGTTGTTGTCGTTAAATAGCTGTTGACAAAAACCAGAGTTTTAGACAGTCTGACTCCGGGCTTGTCGCCAGAGAGAAATTGCATGAATAATTAAACCAGCATAAGCCCCAGTGTGCAAACTCTTATTCTGGGTTAAAAGCTGCATGTCAATTGGGAACAGGTTTAAATTTAACCCCAAAAAGGCGCTCTTAACCCGAAACAGGAGTGTCCACATGGGTTAGACGCGGTTTTACAATATTGGTTTGAATTTAAGTTAAACTTATGCAACTTTCCCATGTAGACAAGGCCTGAAAATCCTTTCCCCTCAGTCGCTCAGTGTTCCCCTCTGGCTCAGACGACGCTATCATTGTGTTAGTTCTCCTGGGACCTGGGCTCTCAGTGTGAATGAAATCCAATAACAAGCCAGAGGCCCCTTGCTCCTCCACAAAGGAACAAGATGGCCTGAGCTTGGTTTCCTCCTCCTTTCCAGGCCGCCTAATGAGGCTTCATCTGAGTTTGTTACCAGCTCAAATTTGGTTCCATTTCTAACCCCCCCGCAAGCCTCATGGCAGGCTCTGGACGGTCCGTGGGTCTGACCGTGAGGCGGTGAGTGAGAGAAGGGGTTCCTGAGCTGCACCCCACGGAGCAGGCCTCCAACCAGGTTTTGAGGCAGGACTCCATCCCTTGGTGGTGCTCTGCCCCCAGCCCAGAAGTCTGGACTCCCTGAGCTGAGCCCTTGTCCCCAGCACCAGAGAGTAGGGTTCAGTAAGGTACTTTCAGAGGGGACTGACTTTTGACAGGGTAACACCTGGGCAGCTGTTTGGCTTGTCGGGAGCTCCATGGGCCAGACCCTGGGAGAGGCAGAAGGTGGCTGGCGGGCTCTTTACTGCCTGGGTCTCAGTGGGTCCGGGAGAGCTAACCAACGTGATCTAGCCGTGGTTCCCCCTAAGCCCCTGCTGTCACGCAGTCTGTGTGTAGCCCCTTTCCCTCCCCTCCGCTCCCCCCCACCACCCCATGGCTCATGAGGCCTGCTGCTGCAGAGGAATGGGGTGGAGGACATGCCCCTCCCACTGTCTACTGATAGCCCATGGGCCACCGCGGGGCGAAGGACTCCAAGTTGAGGTGGTAGATTCAGGCCTGCAGTGATGGTGCCAACTCCAGATGCCTTAGGAGAGCAAGTCTCTGCTCTTTCAGGGCCTGATCCTAGAGGGGGGCAGCACGCCCTGCAGGGTCGGGCCGTCTGGCTCCAGCTGCTGCTCCATCATCCCCGGATCATTGGCTGCAGAACTAGTGTCACTTCAGACCCAGAGCCAGGTGTAAGTCTGTGCTGTGTGGGGCACGTGCCACACGGGCAGTGTCTGATCAAAGGCCAAAGTCTGTGGCTTAATGTCCTTGATCCTAACGCACGCAGTAAGTGAACAGAGTAACTAATGGTGTGAAAGAATCAATGTGGGGAAACTGGGTAGTCGGTACCACAGGGGGCAGAGTTAAGGGTGTGTGGGCGTCCCTGCTGTACCCCTCCGCTCTCGGGAAGGTTTGGGTTTCCTGCAAGCGCCACTGAAACTCTGTTTTCTGGGTTCTAACGTTTCTCTTTGTTGCTGAATTGAAACGTGTTTGAAAGGGAACGTGCGCTGCCGTGGGTCTGCACCTAGCAGGAGGGCTCGTGGGGGCTGGGTTCACTCCTTCCCTACTCACCCTTTGGGTTTGATTTGTTCCCCACTGTCCCTTAGACGTAGTTCCCTAGCTTTCTCGAGCTTCTCCCCCCCCGACCTTTGCTCTGACAGACTAAAGGCACAGCAGTGTAAACACACACCCAGAACACTGCACCATCCACCTTCTGCTCGGCTCTCACTCCAGTCCGCCGGCACTTTTAACCAGCACAGAGCACTAACCAGGCCAGCCACAGCCATATGATCACAGGCTCGCAGCGTCTCTGGGAACCCTGAGCCAGGCATTCGCATCAGTGTTGCTTTGCAGCGTCTCCGTGATCTGAGACAGATGTTCGGTTTGTGTGGAGCCAGGTACGGCTGAGCCTGGACTCCGTTGGAGGCCTGTGTTTCCAGCGTGTGTGTGGTGGGGGCAGAGCACACGCATGTACATGCATGGAGGGGGAAGGGGGTTATTTCTGAAAGCAGGAAGATCTAGCTCATGGTTTCAGACAGCCGATGGCAGAGAGCCGGCTCTGTGCGGATGCAGGACGGAGGTTGTCTGAGGGCTTGTCTACACTGAAAGCGCTACGGAATCCCTTCAGTGTAGACACTCGGGCAGGAGCGCTTCACCCATCACGGTTGTAGATCCACCTTCCCACCAGGTGGAAGGATTCTTCTGTTGACGTACTGCTGTCCACATGGGGCCTGGGATCAGCTTCACTATGCCGCTCAGGGGTGTGGTTACACGGCCTTCATTTTCTAGTGTAGACCAGGTCTGAATGTGTCGGGTGAGAAGATTCTGCTTCAGACTCAGCTAGTGATCAGGTTCTGCCCCTGTGAAGAGCAAATCCGCTGTGCTCCTGGCTCAGCTCTCTCTCCATCAGACCCTGCTGCAGCCACTTCCACAGGTTAATTGCCTGTGGTGTGGAAATCGGAGCCCAGTGGGGTCGCTGCTGCCCCATTCAGCGGGAGGCCAGGGGCATCTGGGTGAAACGGCTGTTTTCTCTCTGCCAGGTTCGGTCCATCAGCATCAACGTGCGGAGGAACCTTGCCTTCAACACGCTGAGCCAGGAGGTCCTGCTGAAAGAGTTCTCCACCATCTCTTGAGACAGAGGCGCTCAGCTGCCGCGCGGGGCTGTCAGGAGAGCGGCCCATCTCGGTGCAAACACTACAGAGCTGCAGCCGACTGCCCCTCGCCCGCGGAAGGGACTGCACTTCCTGCGGGCACCTTGCCGCTGAGCGTTTGATTCCCAGTGCGTGCATTCCTCCCGGACCCTGCGCTCAAGGAGAGACACTCCCATACATACGTACATGCCTGGGGCAGGGTTAGCTGAAGCAGGGACATTGATAGGCCGGGAGAGCAATAGCATCATTGCCAGGGAAGACGTTGGATGCCATGGGAGTAGGTAGCTGCTTGGGCGGCAGTTCCGGCTGAGGACTAGCTGAGAGACTCCCTTGGGGGGCACGCACATTAGCAATGCAGAGGGCAGAGCTGGGGGGGGGAAGTTTCTCCCCTGAGCAGGGTCAGTCCAGATGTGCTGGGGGGCATTTGGGGAGAGATCACTCACCTGTCTCTGCAGGAAAGATAAATTTGCCCCCACCCCCCAAGGAAGGGGCAGGCTGGCTAAGCAAACTTGGGGTTCAGAAGCCTCATCACACCCAGGTGTGGGGGAGTCTCTCACTTCCAGGGCACTTGGCTGCGTCGCTCTGGTCTGATCCTGCCTCCTGGAGTCTGCCCATGACGGGTGCTGCAGGCTGGTCCTACCATGGCTGATGTCCCCTCGGGCCCGGTCTCGGGAATCACTCCTCTGGAAAACGTCCCCATGACACTCACTGCATTAGATGTTCCCAGGGCTTTGGGGGCAGGCTGGGGGAGCAGGACCAGCTCCCTTTCTCTCTCCCCCTCCCCCTTTATTACCCCTCAAAGGCTCTGCACTGCCATGGCTCTCCCCATCCCCTGAGGGCTAGCCCAGCCTGCGACCCCCACTCGGCGCATCCCCCAGTGGCCGAGCGGCCTAGCTGCCCCGGAGCTCAGATCTTCACCTGGGTGGCTGGAGCAGCTAGGGGCTCCTGTGTTGTCAGGTACGTGCACCAACGTAAGAGGACGTGTGGGAGGGTGTTAGTTCATTGGCTGGTCCCACCTCCAGCCTCTGCCAAGCGCTTTCGGAGAACTCTCCTCGGGGCAGTGTGAAATGCAGGCCTTTCTGCACCCAGCCCTTTCAGAACCGATTCCCTGGCTGGACAATGGCTGTGCCAGCTGCCCCCTAAATCAGCCCGGGCCATGTGAATGTCTTTCGTCACGCTTGCCCCGTCAGCTGCACGGAGTGAGAGCATTGCCGACATGCTCAGCTCAGCAGAATCTGGATTGAAGCAGAAGCCAGCCTCCAGCGCCGTCAACTGCTTCCACCTTTTCTAGAAAATGATCAAGTGCCTAGGTGGGAGGGGCTTCCACACGAGTGTTTTTTAAAAGTTCAAATAATGTTAATGAGCCATCTCCCCACCATGGGCAAGGGAACTGTCCCAGCTAAAACGGATCCTTAGCTCCCTGCCAGGCTGCCGGACATACGGCCTGGGAGACCAGCTGAGGGGGCTGAGGAGGATTGGAGCACTGGGTCCCCCTTGCTGATCCAGGTTAGGCTGTACCTGGAAAGGTGGGGGCTGGGGGCAAGGCTGACCGCTCCAGAGACCAAGCCAACTGCCACGGTGTCTCAGCTTGTCCGTCTGGACCCCCACGAGATCCCCTCTCCTGCAACGCCCCTCCCCTGGATGATGAGACGACAGCAGGGCCCGCGCTGGGATCAGTCCCGAGGGCAGCTGCTGAGCCAGCCTGCGGGTGACACATGTCCTGTTTAGCGTCGCTGAGCCCAGCACTGTCGATGGAGGTCTCTGCATAGCATAGAGAGTGAAATAAACGGGAATGTTCGCCTTCCACGGGCAGTGGCTGTGTGTGTGCTTTGGGGAGCAGGGATTTGACTGGGGCCTGTTCTGGAGCGCCGGCCTGCCCCCAGACCACGGCACGCGCTGGCTGGCCAGCCAGGAATATTGGTGGGGCAGACCGAAGGGGTTTTGCTGGCCCTGCTTCTGGCTTCCCTGTTGTGTGCAGCACCTGGCTCCTAGCACGCACAAGAGACTGCTCCTGCAGCCTCTCTCATTCCCCGAGGGTCTGTCATCACGGCACTGTCAGCTCGGGGGTTGCTCCCAAGCCCCCTCCCATCCACACACAAAACTCTCTAACCCTAGTCTGGTGCCTCCACCTAGGCTAGCTGGCCTGGCTGGGGTTGGGTTAGAGCCCAGCTGCTGTATTCCCAGGGGCTGGTAACCCGCCTGCTTTCAGTGAGGATGCAGGCTAAACCACACGAGTGCTACTAGTCCTCCAAGGCCTTCCCACCATCCCCCTGTGCCCGGGACAGACACGTTCTCCCGCGATTCACTGGGAAAGAATCGTAGAGCGGCTCAGCTCACTGCAGCACCAAGAGCCCCGGGCGGTGCCCCCAGGAGTTCCAGCGACACGCCCAGGAGCGCTGACCGGTGAGGATGCAATAACTCGGGCGGGGCTGGGCCGTGGGCTGCTCGCGCCCAGGGTAGGCTGACCCGGGGCTCAGACCTGATCACGGGGCGACATCCCTGAGCGTGGTGTCCTGTAGGCAGGATGCGGTTGCTGCATATTCCAGCTGTCCCAGGCCTTTGATCCAGTCCAGCCGCTGCTAGGTGTTTCCCAGACTCCAGGCTTTCACAACTGGCTCCCCGTGTTCCCTGCACTCCGCTGTGTGAGGGGCCCCATTCGGTTCCTCATGCCCTAACCCGCACTGGGGGCTCCAGCCCTCCGTGCCCTGGAGCGGGTGCTTGTGCCTGAGGCCTGCTTGAAGTGAGGAGTCCTTTAACACTAATGCTCAGCATTAAAGCCCGGCCTGAGGGTCAGGATTTCCATGGGGCTGAGCCAAGCGGTTGAGTAAATTTTGTTCTGTCTAATTTAGAACCCAATCCTTCATAGGAAGAGCCGCTACTGAGCCGCTGAGACTGGGAGGAGGAATCAGATTGCCGGCTTTTAAATCCAGGGAGATTTAAGGGAGATTTAAGGGATGCAGGGAGACAAATATTTTAAAAAGTAATGACCTGTCCTCTAGGAGAAAAATTGGGTTGGAGCTAGAATGTGGCTGGAAATATTAAAAATTGATTTTTAAGCACGATGGGATTTCTTTGTATCCATTTTCCTTCCCTCGTTCTCACCGTTTCCATTTTTCACACACCGAGAGCTTTCACTCCGCGCAAACGCGGCCGCTCGGTTTGTCTGGTCCTGGCGTCGCCCTCCCGCTCTGGTGCCCCGGGTGTTCGCGGAGAGTCGCTGGCCATGGGGGTGGGGGTATTGCTCCAGGCTTGCAGGTAGCGCCCCCGCATCAAACCGGGTTCCCCTGCAGGCAGCCAGGCGTGAGAAGTGGCTCCAGGCTGGAGAGGGAAGTATGGGAGCAGGTCGTGCTTGGGGCTGGCCGCCCTGGGAGGAGAGGCGGAGGGTGGTCAAAGCTCAGCCGGGAATTAAGATACGTGATTGGAAGTGGTGCTGATGAGCTGGGTTCAGCCCACCCCGGGGGGGTGGCGGATTCTCATCACTTGGGGGCTTTATGTGAAGACTGGGTCATAGAATCATAGAATATCAGGGTTGGAAGGGACCTCAGGAGGTCATCTAGTCCAACCCCCTGCTCAAAGCAGGACCAATCCCCAATTAAATCATCCCAGCCAGGGCTTTGTCAAGCCTGACCTTAAAAACTTCTAAGGAAGGAGATTCCACCACCTCCCTAGGTAACGCATTCCAGTGTTTCACCACCCTCCTAGTGAAAAAGTTTTTCCTAATATCCAACCTAAACCTCCCCCACTGCAACTTGAGACCATTACTCCTCGTTCTGTCATCTGCTACCATTGAGAACAGTCTAGAGCCATCCTCTCTGGAACCACCTCTCAGGTAGTTGAAAGCAGCTATCAAATCCCCCCTCATTCTTCTCTTCTGCAGGCTAAACAATCCCAGCTCCCTCAGCCTCTCCTCATAAGTCATGTGCTCCAGACCCCTAATCATTTTTGTTGCCCTTCGCTGGACTCTCTCCAATTTATCCACATCCTTCTTGTAGTGTGGGGCCCAAAACTGGACACAGTACTCCAGATGAGGCCTCACCAATGTCGAATAGAGGGGGACGATCACGTCCCTCGATCTGCTGGCAATGCCCCTACTTATACATCCCAAAATGCCATTGGCCTTCTTGGCAACAAGGGCACACTGCTGACTCATATCCAGCTTCTCGTCCACTGTCACCCCTAGGTCCTTTTCCGCAGAACTGCTGCCTAGCCATTCGGTCCCTAGTCTGTAGCTGTGCATTGGGTTCTTCCGTCCTAAGTGCAGGACCCTGCACTTATCCTTATTGAACCTCATCAGATTTCTTTTGGCCCAATCCTTCAATTTGTCTAGGTCCCTCTGTATCCTATCCCTCCCCTCCAGCGTATCTACCACTCCTCCCAGTTTAGTGTCATCCGCAAATTTGCTGAGGGTGCAATCCACACCATCCTCCAGATCATTTATGAAGATATTGAACAAAACCGGCCCCAGGACCGACCCCTGGGGCACTCCACTTGACACCGGCTGCCAACTAGACATGGAGCCATTGATCACTACCAGTTGAGCCCGACAATCTAGCCAACTTTCTACCCACCTTATAGTGCATTCATCCAGCCCATACGTCTTTAACTTGCTGACAAGAATACTGTGGGAGACCGTGTCAAAAGCTTTGCTAAAGTCAAGAAACAATACATCCACTGCTTTCCCTTCATCCACAGAGCCAGTTATCTCATCATAGAAGGCGATTAGATTAGTCAGGCATGACCTTCCCTTGGTGAATCCATGCTGACTGTTCCTGATCACTTTCCTCTCATCTAAGTGCTTCAGGATTGATTCTGTGAGGTCTCTCTAACACGGGCTATAGCCCCACCCCACGTGCAGGCTGGAGGCAGGGATTAGAGGGGTGGGTTCCCTGGGGGTCAGACTGACTGGCCCCTGCTGGCCTGCAGCTCTGCTCAGTGGGGCTGCGGCTGGAATTCCTTTCCACGCGGCTGAGGTGGTCTGTGTGCCGTGGTCCCCGTGGTTTTGTTAGCAGCCCCCTCCCGGTGTCCCCACCCCGACCCCCAGGCAGAGGGCAACTTCTCCAGGATGCAGAGCTGGATGCTGGGCTCCAGCTGGAGATGGGCCGAGAGCCCCCTGCCTGTCCCTGGCCAGAGCTCCGCAATGGGGCCGGAGTTTGCAGCTGCAACTTGTCAGGCTGCCCTCCACCTTCCCTGCCTCTGCCATGGTCCCTGGCCACTGCCGCCGTCACCCCCAGCCCCTCGGCTGGCTGTGCAAGAGCGGGGCTGAGCCGAGCCAGCGGGCTGGGAGTCCTGTCCTTGGCAGCCTGCTCGAGGGAGTCCTGCGCCTGCAGGGATAGACGAGCCACCTCCTCTGCGACATCCAGGCCAGCTCGGTCTCCCTGCCAGGCTGGCTTTCCTCCCCAGTCGCCGCTGCGGTGACTCCATCAGATCCCAGACACTGAGCCCTCTCCTGCTCCGCTTCATAGATCACCTCTTCTGCCCCCGCCACCCGCTCAGCGCTGGGCGCCCGTCTGTCGGGCAGGTGAAGGCACAACCCGGCATAGCCTGGTCTGGGGGGAGAGCTCCCAGCCACCTCGCATGGGGCTGCATCGGGCCGCTGTCCTGCTGCTGGGCCGCAGGGCGGAGTAAGGGCAGGAGCAAGGGGGTGAGTCCAGTGGGTGCTGGCGCAGATTCTGCCCTGGGGGAAATGGATCCCCAACCCCCAGAAGTTTCTCCCGGGGCCGAGGGGTCGGAACGGGGAGCTCCCCCGAAGCTGTGACGGGCCTCGGCTCTCTCCTCCCCACTCCGGGGTGGCTACATAGGCGAGAGGTGCTGGAGACACACGCCGGCTGGTCCCCCGTTTATTCTGCAGCCCTCTAGGACCCGTCTCACCGGCACTCCTTCAGGAGCCACCCACGAGGGGCAGAGACCGGATTTCAGTCCAGGACCGGCGGGGGTTGACAAGCCCCGGCTGGCGGGCACAGACCTGGGGTCTGGACAGTGGGGCTCAGCAGGTGGCTCTTCGGGTAGTTTGCCCTATGGGGCTGGATTCAAATCCAGGCCCGGTACCAGGGCAGCCCCACCGGGAGCGGTTCGGTGGAGTCGTTAAACTGAGCTGCTCTCTGCCCATTTCCGGGGGGTGGCAGCCGTGAGCACTTGGGGTGATGCCCAGGTGCTCACTGTCCAGAACTGAGTCCATGGGGCCTATGGGCAGGGGCGGTGTGAATGCCATTGCTAATGGCATGAACGGGGCATGGGCTCCGTGCTCCCTTCGCTCTGCGGTGCTAAGCTCCTGTGACAGGGAAAGGCGTGTGCAGACCCTGGCATGGTGTAATGATGCTGTCCTTGGTGGGACCTAACTGAGGGCGTCAATTCAGGACAAACTGCTCAGAGCCGGGCAGTCACCGCCCAAGGCTGGGGTTCATTTGCACACCAAGGCAAACCAAACCAGCCAGACAGAGAGGACTTTGGTCTCACCCCATGGGCTAACCACAAGTCACACGAGCAATTCCCTTAGGCACTCCAGTTTCCCAGTCTCCCCACCAGTGCCCCTCATTATGGGACAGATGGTTATGAAAACCAGTACCCCAGTAAAAGAGAAAAGGTTCCTTCGCTCCCAAAGGACCAAGCCCCAGACCCAGGTCAATATACAAATCAGATCTTACCCACAAATCACGCTGTTGCCAATCCTTCAGAATCTAAAATCTAAAGCTTTATTCATAAAAGGAAAAAGATAGAGATGAGAGCTAGAAGTCGTTAAATGGAATCAATGACACACAGTGATGGCAAAGTTCTTGGTTCAGGCTTGTAGCAGTGATGGAATAAACG